AAGACATCGCTCCTCTATCCGTCTCCAGGTAGGTCCGCCCACATGCAGATACACCCACATATGAGTATGTGAGATATCATCATACCAACCCCATCACATACACCATATACAAATACAGGTGTATGTGACAGGGCTGGTGCCATAATGTACTTATGCGGACCAGTCACACATGTGTAGAGAGCAGCTACTCTGTTAAAAGCAGCTACTGTGTTGAAAGCAGCATTGTTGGATGTAAAATGACACTTCGTGAATTATAATTACTGGGTAAATGTAAAATCATGTACTGTAAAATCATCAACTACTGCAAAAAAAATATATCTGTACCATGGGAACTTAATCTGGATGCTGATTAGTCTTTTTATATTTAGCTGTGGTTGATGTGAATACTGCCCCCTTGTGATAGTAACAGATATGTAAACACACACACACACACACACACACACACACACACACAGAATGGTAAATCATAGGAAACTTTAATGAACTATATTGACTAAACTATGCCATGTATCATCTTTTGTATTATTAAAGCTATTGTTAATATTATTTTCATTAGCAAACAATCCCATGACAATGGATCTTGTAGAGAAGAACATTAAGAAAAGAAAATCAGTGAGGATTTTTTACAGTATGGTTTTACCTCAATAATTACAGCAGGAATTGAGAAACTGCAATGTGTTATTTGTTGTGAAGTTCTATCAGCCGAATCTATGAAGCCAAACAAACTAAAACACCATTTTGATTACAAGCATCCAAGCTTTGCTGGCAAGGACACCAACTATTTTAGAAGCAAAGCTGATGGACTTGACATTGGTGGCAAGTGCCACAAACAACACGTAGCAGGCATTGAAGCTTTATATTTAGTGGCACTCAGAATGGCCGGAGCTATGAAACCTCACACCATTGCTGAGGATTTACTGTTGCCAGTGGCCAAAGACATTGTTCAAGTTATGATCAGAGACAAATTTGTTACGAAATTGAGTGCAATTCCCTTATCTAATGACACTGTCTGCAGAAGAATAGATGACATGTCTGCTGATATTCTTTATCAGGTAATCCAGGAAATTAAATCTGCTCCACTTCCAATACTTAGCATCCAGCTTGATGAATCTACAGACTTTGCAAACTGTTCACAGTTACTGGTTTACGTGAGGTATATTAATAATGGCGACTTTAAAGATACATTTCTTTTTTTGTAAACCTCTTGAAAAAACTGCATGTGATACAGTTGACACAGTTGGTTTACTTCTGAAAGAGCATGAGATCTCTTGGGGAAAGGTTTGTGGTGGTTGCACAGATGGTATTCCAGCTATGCTAGGATGTCGATCTGGATTTCAATGTTTAGTACTGAATGAGTCACCAAAAGTTATTGGAACTCACTGTATGATTTATTGGCAAATATTAGCAATGAAGATGCTGCCACAAGAGTTGCAAGAAGTAATGAAAAGCATTATAAGTTCTGTCAGTTTTGTAAAGGTGAGCACCTGAAACAGTCGACTGTTTTTGCAACTGTGCAATGAGTTGGATGTGCTGAACAATGCTCTGCTATTTCACACTGAAGTGAGATGGTTGTTGGCAGGAAAAGTTTTAAAACATGTTTTTGAGTTTGGTGATGAACTCAAAATGTTTTTTAATCAGAAAGCAAGACACAGTTCAAAGCACTTTTCGGTGATAAAAGTGAACTGCAGAAAATAGCTTACTTGGTTGACATCTTTGCCATCTTGAATGAGTTAAATTTATCACTGCAAGGACCAAATGCAGCATACCTCGATTTGTCTGAAAAGATTCTATCATTCTTAATGAAACTTCAGCTTTGGCATAAAAAATTGGATGAAAATAAAATTTACATGTTGCCTACCTTATCTGCTTTCTTTGAGGAACATGACATTGAACCAGACAAAAGGATTACGATGATAATTTCTGTGAAAGAACACTTGCACATGCTTGCAGACGAAATTTCATTGTACTTTCCAAATCTACCTGACACCCCATTTGCACTTGCCAGAAGCCCATTCACAGTCAAATTGAAGTTGTTCATGAGACAGCACAAGAGGAGTTCATTGAACTTATTAACAGTGATGCAGTGAGAACTGATTTCTCTACAATGCCAGTTACAAAATTCTGCATCAAGTGTTTGCAGTCATATCCTATTCTGTCTGAGACTGTGTTGCGCCTTCTTCTTCCATTTCCAACAACATATCTTTGTGCAACAGGGTTTTCCAGCTTATTGGTTATCAAGTCTAAATACAAAAGTAACTTGTTGTGGAAGATGATCTTCGTTGTGCTCTTGCAAAGACTGCACCGAGAATTTCTGATCTGGTGAGAAAGAAGCAATCTCAACCTTCGCATTGACATTGGCTTTTTACCCATACTGTCCCAAAATGTAGCAATGTAGTTTACTGTTGTTATATTAAGACTGCTACCGATGCTATAGCATGCTTCAAGACAAAATTTCATTTATTTGTAATTAGAAATAAATATTTCACGATATATAATTACGTATTATTTTTGTGATTAATCACTATGCTTTAATTCTATTCAGCTTGTAACAATGAAAATACATCCTGCATATCAGATATTTACATTATGATTCATAACAGTAACAAAATTACAGTTATGAAGTAGCAATGAAAATAATTTTATAGCTAGGGGTCACCACAACATGAGGAACTGTATTAAAGTGTCGCGGCATTAGGAAGGTTGAGAACCACTGGTCTAGGGAATTATGTATTCCCAAATTTTCTCAGGCTTGCTGTGGCCCCGCTCGTTCTGGCCAATGATCTCTGTTCCCAGGTTTGACTGACAGACACCTTCCCTAATCACCCAAACTTCACTGAACGCGTGTCTATCTCCCCTTTGTTGGACTTTGCTCCGGTGACCTGCAAGTAATGGGCCAGAGGTTCCCTGGGGAGTGCAAAGTTACAACATCCTGGTGAAGCTGCCCAAATGGCCATGCTTATAATGTCTGGCCTCCCCTTTTGCTCCTTTCCTATACTAATAAATAGCTAATTACAGTGGTATCACCATCACTTATATATATTATTTTTAATACTAATACTTCTAAAATTGGTATTTCTGTTCCACTAAATATTTATAATAACAAAATTTTAATGACTCCAATTTGCTGTGGTATAGATGTACCATAATTCATATAAACATTCTCTTAATATTAGTTAGATTATTCCCATTTTTGTATTGTAAATAAAACATTATCTTTTACATAAATATTTGTCTACAGTTAATTATACCTTAGAGCAAAAGTCCTTTAAGTAGATTACTTATTCTTATATTACTTATATATTCAAAGTATATATAAATATTTTTTAAAGGCTCTAGATACATAGAGGTGGGTTACTTTCCGGAAAGGCAATGAGAAGCTATCCTCCTGCAAGCAGATCTTATGAGTCTATAAGGTACAATTCCATTGCTAACTTAGTGTATTTTTAAAGATTCCACTTTCCTGGTTGGAAAATGTCTTTCCATTGGGCTTTTCATCTGCTTTTAGTATTTGATTACTGATATAAGTTGAATATTTTTTCTTACAGTTATTGGTCACTGGATGTTTTATTCTTTGTATTGTCTAGCAATGCCCTTTACCCATAAAACATAGTATTTTAAATTAAATTGTAAAAGATCATTACTTATGTTAATCTAATTATAAGATTGTTACATGCTGATTATATTGCCTTATATTTGTTATTTTCACCCTAACTGTTGGTTTCCCAGTAAAATATATTGCACCTATCTGAATCTTTACTGAATTCTCCATTTTCAGAAGGCCTTTAGTTTCTTTTGTATTTATCCTATTTATCAGAGAGAAAGTACCTTAATAACAAGAAAACGGAATATATTTATCACCATTCATATATTTATAATTTTTGTGTTATTTGACTTCTAAGTTGCTTCTGAGTTAATCATTATGTATATGCTCATCAAAATATATAAAAAATTAACTCACTGTGTGTTAATTACCATAACATTCTAGAAAAATGTGTGTATACTTAAAGCCCTAGAGAGCAGATTACTTTTCCTGATATTATCTTTGTGTTTGTACTAAGATTTCGAAAAAAAATATCCCTGGGGTATAATAAAATTATTTCAAAAATTTTAGGATTGTATATTAAAGAAACATTGTCTTTCGAGCATGTTACTTGAATCATAGTTAAGTGAAAGGCGGTGTGAACCATCTGATAAATGATTTTTTTTTTTCCACATCAAGCAACCCAACTTTTCTGAGCATGCTGGCTCTGCAAGAATTTATAGATCCCTTCCCTCGTGCTGGAGTTACCTCAGCTTTCTGTGATGCATTCCGATGCCTTAGTCTGGAGGTTCAGGCATTCCTTGATCAGGGATAGATCTGATTGCTGCTCAGCCCTGGAATTCCATATAAAATTCCAGAACGTGGGCTAGAAATTGACTGAGGGAATCCAATAAAGTTGCAAGTCTTGGCAGTCATCCAAGCTAAATTTATAGACTGGAAGAAATATGGGCTTTCCATTGTTCTCTTTTCCACCTTTCTGGGGTTTCTTTTGTGTGTATGTGAGTGTGTGCGTGCACATTTATCATTGCCCTGACACTGGAGTGGAAATAACCATTGAGGGAATCCAGCTACAGAATTTTCACTTTGGATCTTCCCTGGTTTCTCTGAACTTTGACCCAAACCTGCACCAAGAGTGACTTTCTTCTCCCTCTGTAGGATGTTGGTGTCATAAAATAAGAAGTTGTTCTTGAAAATGTATTATGCTAGGATAACAGCTGACGTGCACATTTGCCAGCTAGGTACAACCCCTAAATCCCTGGGCTCTGTGGAAGCCTTCTTTTTGAGGTCCAATCTGAGAAAACGTGGTTATTCATATTGTTTCTGTTCATAACGGGGCAAGAAAACAAGCCCTGAAGCCTCTATAGACGCCAGTCCTTTTGTATATGCCTGATGCCCGGTACATAGAGATCCAAGCAGTCATTCCATATCTGGTCATCAGAAACATTTCTTGTTCTTGCAGAATGGATTTGCTGTTGTGAGGCCCCCAGGCCATCACGCTGAAGAATCCACAGCCATGTAAGTACCAGGGACTGTTGCCCATCTCCAAGCGCCTCGGTTCCTGGCAGTCACCTGCCCCGTGCATGTCTCTGAAGCCTCTAATTGTTAGCAGATGGAATGAAAAATCTTGCGAGGTACTCCCAGAAGCAGATTTATGGCTTCAGAGATCATATAGCATTTTTAAAAATGCTCTGAACATTATTTATAATGGTTTTCCCGGCTGATTTGCTTTCTTATTTCTCTGTTCTTCTCTATTCCGCAGGGGGTTCTGCTTTTTTAATTCAGTTGCAATTACCGCCAAATACTTGAGAGACCAACTAAATATAAGCAAGATATTGATTGTAGATCTGGTATGTATTCCTGGCCAGAGCTGCATTTTCAGTGACTCTAGATAAAAGGGAGTGCATTTGTATTTCTCTGTGAGGTTGTCTTGCTTTTAGCACTTGCAAACAACTGAAGGGCGCGTTTCCTTTGAATGTGGAAACTCATTAAATTCAGGATTGCAGTTCTGAAACCATAAACATTCACGTTTCACTTTCATGGTGTTAACTGCAATTTAATGAGAAGAAGGCGCAGATCAGGGCAACTTTTATGATCCTTAAATGAATTGATACTTCCACAGTTAAAATAACCCAACAGAACCTGAATTTACTTTTCCCTACAGAATATAGACTTTAAACAGTCAGATGTGCTGGAAAGAATGCTGTTGCTTTGGTAACCAATTGGCCACTTCCCTTGGTTAGCAATCATGTTGCTTGTTGTGCAACAGTGGTATTATTAAAACAAGTCAGCATGTCATTCTTTCTGAAAAGATTTCAGATCATGTATGCCAGTTTGGGATGACTCCCGGCAGGGACCCCAGTGATTAAAAGTCAGAGTCATTAGATTGGTCTTGCATTTTAACATGATGCATTCTTACACAATAGAGTTATAATTTGTTTAACAAATGGTTTGTTTAAATGCAGATGACACTTGGCATGTTGTCTATAGTATATTCATGAATAATGAGCTGGAGATCTGCCCCATACAAAAGGACCAACCCAGGAAAGGGCGAAAGAGAGCTGACTGGTGATTTATGAGCCCCGTTTTCGGTTTGCCTCCAGTTCACGAGGAGGTGTAATAGGTTGTCTGACAAAGCATAGACAGGAAATGAACCCTGGCATCCAAAGCGAACCTGCTACATCTGCACTTAATTAATTTTTGCAGGTGATAAAAGATTTAAAGGCAAAATATGTTAAAAGTTTTTTTTGAAGTGCAAGGCTTAATAGTCTAAATCTTGTTCATATCTGCACTCGTAATTAAATCTTACATCCAGCCCTCCGATTGGGTGAAGCAGGCGCACCAGAGGGCCGAGGGCCCAAACAAAGCCACGCGGAGAAATGCTGAGTTTCAATGAAGATGAAAGGATCGGAGGCCTGATAACCCTCCCGTGTGCTGGGCAGGCATGGCAGCTTCCCGCACATTATTGTCGCCTCACTGCAGTCACTGGCGCGGAGCCACTGAAACCCCACTTTCCATCTATTTTCCAACCATCCTGAAGTTTCAGTGGAGGTCACAGTTCACCATTAAAGAAACGTGTTGAAGGCCTAGATATACAACAGCAGCAAGGTCTTAAAACTTCACGAAAAGGAGGCCATCAGTAGCCATTTTCCCATGTACATACAAAATGACATTTAAAATAATTAATAATTACTGGTTTACGTTTGTAAGAGAGTAAATTAAAAAATAACGTACCGTAAGTTCTGTTAGAAAGAGAAGTCCAAACTTGAAGGAAGGATAGCAGATGAAGACCAAAGGTTGTGTGAACATTTTTCTAAGCCTTCTCAATTTGTCAAAATTATGGGGGAAGAAAATTGGTAAACTGTTCATCCTATCCTTAAGAATATCTTACTATTGCTTTCTAAGCAGTCTCCTTTGCTACCGTTTTATGGTTCTATGAAGATAACCAATAACCATTGAGTAGCTATGAAAACATTTGTAACATCCAATCTCTAAAGTAATGAATTGTACAATAGACTTGAAAGCTAAGATGTTTAGCTTATGATACATGGGTATTTTGCACCTCGGAGGATTTGTCTCTGAAGTTTTGTTTTTGTACATTAATATAAGAATTAAAGACTGCTGGAGATAATTCTCTACGACTTATAAAATAAGTTGCTTGGTAGCTCCAAGGAGTGTCCTGTAAGATTACTGGCCTTTGATTATGAATTAGCTCCATTATCCAATCATAAAGGATACTGATTTCCCAGCAGGCTGCAGTCGAAGAGAAGTTTTTGTTTCAGATTCTCTAAATATATGAAGTTCTGTCCAAAGGGTTGCCTCTGAGATCACCACCAGCCTGCATATTCTTACTTTCAAGTCGTCCAAATTCTGCAGCTGCAGGGATACTTTGAGGAAATTCCCCTGTTCCTTCCAGCTGCCGAGAAGGAAGTTTTAAAGCGCCACGTGGCTCTGAGACATCCGTTCTCCCTGGCTGACAGGTCTGTCCCGAAAGTCAGCGAAAGAGAAGAAGTGAAGGTTCTCCAGAGGCAAAAGAACTTCACTCCTGAATAGCCAGAGTCACAGATTTTAGCTAATTAGTATGAACTAGCTCCAAAAATTCTCAGGCCAAACACAGACCAAGCTACTCTGTTGTCCAGCGGCTAGTTTCAGCATTTTTACCTGCCCAGTGAGCAGGGAGCCAGAGCTCGAATTCAGCTCCTTCGGGGGCCACAGCCCAGTTCAGGGGCGTTGCGCATTGGAGGCAGGACCATTCTGGTTGATCTGCGGAGATCATTCATTCCAGCTGTTCTTCTGGGGAGGATTCCAGAGACAGTGACACTGCGTTCAGGGTGGAACCTGTCCTAGAAGTATGACTTGCCTGCTTGACTCATGTGGCCTTTATTTAATGGGACTTCCAGTTGAAAGTAAGATGTTTTGGGCTTTCTTCAGAAAAGTCAGCTCAAACGTCACAGTTGGGGCATCTCCATTTGTCATCAAGCACCAGACTTTGACCAAAGAACTGTCTTAAGTGCCAATACCAAACAAGTATAAGTGATAACTTGAGCTGGTAGAATATATGATTTATTCAAAGCTATTTTAACATTTTAGTAAAGACATATTGGTTCTAAATCCAACACAGAATAAATGTTTGCAGCATATTTTTGAGCAGTAAAATACTGAAATGATTTTTAGCATTTCCCAGAAAATCTTATACACAAGGTCTATTTTGAGGCATTTAATGACTCAGTTAATTTCATTAGAATAGTACTTTCTCCTAATCACCAATGATTTTCTTGTATTAGTCTAGTATGTTTTATTGCCTTGGAGAAAACAATCCTCAGATCATACCTGAGGATTAAATACTTTGTATGAATATCTTGTAGCAAAGAAAGATGCAAAAGAATGTATGTATTTTCAAGGTTATATTATAAGTTGTTGACTAAAACAAAAGGCATGTTTGTTCTTATCTTTATCTCTAAATACCTTGTGAATATGAATATGGAATCAAGAATTGTCTAATTATTTTTAGAATGGGTTTGTGTATTTCAATGAAAAATGTCTGTTGAAACCTAATTATGCTGTGGGCAAGACTATTTCTTATTCAGAAATGTATTCAATAATAAGCACCCAACACAATTTTCAAGAACAAATTATTGTATATTTAAGACAAATGGTCATCCTTTATTTGACATTCTTAAGTAAACTTTTACAACATCACTAAAGAAACAAAAGTAATCAAGGCAATATATTTTTGGTTTTCAGAGTATGGATGCATTTGGGCCCAGAGAAACATTTTTCTTGCAATGCTAACTAAAAATGCTGTCATGCAGTAGAAATGCAAACATTCCTTCACTGTTGTTTTTCAAAGCATTTTGTTTGTTCATCCTCTAGGTATCCAGTAGCAATCTCAAAAGACATTGTGGCTGCAACTGTTTCATTTTTATTCACATAAAGGAAAAGTTTTGCTATCTCCTCCTTCTTTTCCTTTGAACATTCAGAAATCCAGGAATTGATATATTTTCAGTAAGCTATGTTTGTTTTCCTGATGCGTATGCCTTGAGCCAGAACAAGTTGCTAGAATTATCACATCTTCCCCCAAATTTTATGATTCCCTAATGGATTCTGGATTCATGTCCTAGATAAAAGGAAGAGAGGATTGGTATATGTTTACACTGTGGGGAGCAAAGGCAGTGCAGGCTTTCAGAACCCACCAAAGGGAGGCTTTGCTGGTGTATAGTGAGGGAGCTCTGGGTTGGAGGTTGAAACGGAGACAAGTTATATGAATTTCAATAAGGAGCAATAATGACCACACATCTCACTTCACAGGTGTGCTAAGAGGATCAAAGAGATAATGCATGTAAGTTAACAAAATATGGTTATGAGTTTGGCCTTTGGAGTAAGAAGTGGATTCAAGATGCAGTCTTGCAACTTATTCTCTGCATAGCCTTAGTAAATTATTGAAACTCTGAGTCTTAGCCTACTTGTTTTTAAGTTAGTAAAATTTTAATTTACTAATTAAAAGTGCCATAGGGATAATACTGTATACATCACATGATTGTTAAGTAAGCCATACAAGGTATTTAATGTATGCCTGATCCCAAAATTGTAGGAATCATTGTTGAAAATAGTATGATTCTTACTGATAGAATAAAGTACTGTATAAGAATATAGTTACAAGTGATCAAAAATTTTTAGAATAGAACCTGAAACACATATAGCAGTAATATAATATTGAATGCAATTATATAATTGCTCACTTTTAGTGTCATCTATTTTATTTTTGTTCAGAGGTATTAGGACAGATATTAGTTGAGGTCTTTCAGTGAAGACATTTTAAAAAATGCTATTAGTTTTATTTTTCCTATTTCTTTTATAATTCCAGCATATATCTATATCATAAAACAATTAGAATAAAGAACTGTTAATTTTTGAATAATTATAATATACAGTTGTCCAAAGAATTTTTGTCCAAAGAATTTTTATTTATTTATTAAAATGACAAGAGTTTTATTTTGTTTGTTTTGTTTTGGGGAGAGATGGGGGTGTAGGGAGAGAACAAAGGGGAAGAAGGAGGCTGGGAAGAGAGCCATGATATAACACTAAAATTAGGCAGATTGGACACGATTGCACAAAGCCCCACGCCACCTTTCTGCTTTAGACCAAATGATTTAATAGCTAATGAGCTCATGCTCCTGTGTCTTTGTCTTGCCGTCACGATTTTAGCAAAATAAAGTATGAAGTCCGTTTTGCATCTGCATCTCTTTTGAAGTGAGTCTAACTGCTGAGGGATTGCTAACTGAACTGAACGCTTCAAGAAAGCCAATTTACTCAGCTGGTTGCAAAGCCTTTGACCTTAATGGTGGGACTTGGCAAATCAATGCATACATGTATGTTTAGTGTTCTGTCAAGAATTGCAAAAATGCTCTGTAAGCCATAGATCCTTCTGCAAAATACTAGTTTGTAGTTTAAACATTAGTCTTTCTTCAGAGGCCAATGAGGCTAGTTAATTAAGCCTGAGGGGTTATGAACTGTTGGCAGTTAATAAGTCATAAAATTCCTCCATAAAACAGGATGCGAGATTCCATCACTGAAGCAAAGAGTACAAAGGGCCGGTGTATAAATATCTAATTGTACCAAAGGACTGGGCTTTCTCAATGACTGCTCATCTGGAGTCTCCAGGGCATGTTCGCTGTGGTTTCCTGATTTTTAGAAGCCAGTTTAAAAAATGAGTGCATTAAAGGGTAATTTGCCTGAAAGTTCAGGAAGTAAAGGGGGTGGTGTGGAAGCAGACTGAAGGGGAGAGAGAAAAGGGACGGAGGGAGAGGACAGAAAATGAGAAGGAGGGTGGGGTAGAAAGGCAGGGAACTCAAAATCAGAAAGGTTGTCTCCACGCAGTTAGCCGTGACTGTATTTGTCATCTGTTTTCTTTGCCCTGTAGGATGTTCACCATGGAAATGGTACACAGCAGGCCTTTTATGCTGACCCCAGCATCCTGTATATTTCACTCCATCGCTATGATGAAGGGAACTTTTTCCCTGGCAGTGGAGCCCCAAATGAGGTTCGGTTTATTTCTTTAGAGCCCCACTTTTATTTGTATCTTTCAGGTAATTGCATTGCATGATTACCCATAATTTTCTTGTCCTTTGCTGGTGTTTTAAATTACACGAGATTACTGAATCGTCCCGGGGGAGCAAGAACCAGCGCAGAACAAGTGCGTAACCCAGAGCACTGGTTGTCAAGCGAGGGTGGGCTGATTTGACGTGGTGTTTGATGTTTATTTCAAGAGCTCACATGTGTTTGTTTTCCCCTCTTCTTGCTTTCTTCCTTGTGCCCTCCTCTACCCACTGTGGTGTGGTTTTTCTCTTCCCAGGTTGGAACAGGCCTCGGAGAAGGGTACAATATAAATATCGCCTGGACAGGTGGCCTTGATCCCCCCATGGGAGATATTGAGTACCTTGAAGCCTTCAGGTTGGTACTTCTTTCTATGTAAGTGGCAAATTAGAAAACAAATGTCAATGGAAACAATTGTCAAATGTAAACCAGAAATGTGAATTTCTATCTAAGGGAAAATGGCTAAAGGAGCCTTACCTCAAAGCACCAAAAGTGGTATGGTTTGGGGACCTGAATATTGCTACAGAGCCAGTAAGGAATATATGAAAGGGGAAAAGGTACACCAAGACCTCGTGTATCCTTGGCAAATATTTTCCCCCATTCAGTGGGTTGGCTTTTGTTTGGTTGATGGTCTCCTTTGCTGTGCAAAACCTCTTTAGTTTGATGTAGTCCCATTTGTTTACTTCTTTCTTTGGTTTTCCTTGCCCGAGGATATATATCCAAAAATATTACCAAGAACGATGTCAAACAGTTTATTGCCGAAGTTTTCTTCTAGGAGTTTTAGGCGTTTGGGTCTTACATTTAAGTCTTTAATCCATTTTGAGTTTGTTCTTGTATATGGTGTAAGAAAGTGATACAGTTTTATTTTATTTTATTTTTTTACATGCGTCTGTCTGTTTCCCCACACCGTTTATTGAAGAAACTGTCTTTACCACATTGTATATACTTGCCTCCTTTGTCATAGATTAACTGATCCATATAGATATGGCTTTATTTCTGGGTTCTCTGGTCTGCGCCATTGATGAAAATGTCTGTTTTTTTGCCAGTACCAGGCTGTTTTGATTACTGTAACCTTGTGGTGTAGTTCAATATCAGGTAATGTGAAACCTCCATATTTATTCTTTCTCAAGATTGCTTTGGCTATTTGGTGTCTTTTGTGATTCCATATAAATTTTAGAATTATTTATTCTAGTTCTGTGAAAAATGCCATTGGTGTTTTGATAGGAAATTCACTGACTCTGTAGATTGCGTAGGATGGTATAGACATTTTAACGATGTTAGTTCTTCCTATCCATGAGCACGATCTATACTTCCATTTGTTTATATCTTCTTCAATATCTTATAATTTTTCAAGTATAGATCTTTTACCTCGTTGGTTTAATTTATTCCTTGTTATTTTATTATTACTAATTAAAAATATAATAAAAAATAATACAAAAATTAAAAAGAAAAATAGACCTGGTTACCTAGTTTTAGTTATATGGGTATATAGGCCAATGGCCCAGGCATGCTATCCCTACAAAAAAACAAAAACAAAAAAGAAGGAAACAAAAATATTTCATTCATTAGTTTTGGACAAGTCTGCTATTATAACATATGACATGATTTAGAATGGACATTAATTAGCATATTAAGTTCTCCGAGAAGTTCTGCACTACCTGTTTAACTCTGTTCAACAGACGTATTCCAAACTTCACTGGACTGTGGAATACGTTTGAGCATAGCACCGCCTGGCACTCTTAGTTATGAGGAGGTAGGTCACTTTTGGAACTTTGGCCTGGGTAATCTCATTCTACGGTAGAGTAGGTGACTTTCCCCTCTCATAGTAGGTATATTTTCCCTCTCACATTAAAACACCAATGAATTCAGTGGTTGTTTGCAGTTTCTCTACAAAATATAGGCAGTAAATGAAATGTGGATTCATGTATACACATTGCATTCTGCTCTTTTTCAGAGCAGAGAGCTTTTAAAATTAATTTAAGCAAGAAATACAACAAATTAAAAGCATTCTAGTGGGTATGGGTTTTATAAGAAACATTTATTCTCTGGAATTAAAAAAAAAATTAGTCCTTGGAAAGGTCTCTGTTTTAAGAAGTCAGCCTGTGTCAATATGTGTCTCACTTGTAAGATTTTCTGTTTTAACCTATTGGTAATGTATGCTTTTTAGGGGGATATTTTGTTTAATAGAAAGTAAAAGCAATTTACATAATAGGAAATTTTAGAAGCAGAATTTTTTTAAAAACTTACCACTTATAAATTCCCAAGGAGAAAATCATGTTGATGCATTTAAAACTAAAGGAAATAATAGGGCAATTTTCCAATAAGCAAAGTTTTGGTGGGTTTATGCTGTCCTGTGTATGTGCGTACTTCAATTTCTCATTTGAGGGTAATTTCTCATTTGAAAATAAGCCCAGGAAAAATGATAGAAAATTTCTATTTTCAAGAAAATACATTAAAAGTCAATATATTCAAGATACAAAGGAAAATTCTACCCATATTCCAGATTTATACTTTGGAGATAAAAAATTTACACTCATATGTATTCACTATTCATTTTTTAAAAAGCAGAAATAAGTTTATTTACTTTACAATTTGGGTTGTCCATAAAGATATTTTATGTTAATTAGCAGTAAAACTAAAAAAATATACTAAGAAACCAGTGGTTTCAATATTAAGAATTCTGTTGCCTTTATTTGCAACTTAACAAACATTGTTATTATCTTAGAGGAACTTTAATGGGATAATAGATTTTACTATTATATCACATATGATTTGTCTGTTTACCAAGTTAACCAGGTAATTTACAGGGTTCACACAGTAAGTTCTCAACCTTACAATAGCATATGATCATAGCCATTGCTCCACAGTACAGAATTCTTAGTTTTTTGGTGTTTTTTTTATCATAATACTATTAGTGGTACCATATAGCTTTGCATGAAAATGGATCATACATTCACAGCAGAGAAAGAAGCCCAAATAATTTTGATGTGGTCATATTTATCCTTCTTAACATAACTTTTGAGTCCCCAGCGTTGAAACTGAAGTGTTTCTAGCATCCTGTGGGTGCAGATGTGGGGAGGGCGAAAGTAAGCAGTGCCTTTGCTTTTTTTCTTAATGTTTTTTTCTTTTTAATCCTCACCTGAGCATACTTTTCCATTTTTGTTCAGATAGAGTGGGAGAGAGAGGAGGAAGAGAGGGAGAAAGAGAGAAACATGACCCTGACCAGGGCCGGGACGAACCGCAACCGAGGTACATGCCCTTGGCGGGAATCCAACCTGCAACTCATCGGTCCATGGGCCGACGCTCTAACCACTGAACCAAACCAGCCAGGGCTTTTTTTTGTTAATTTTTAATTATTTCTGGACTGTGATGAGTATCTTTGGAGGGGAAGCCTCTCTCTGTGAAACTACATTTATAGTGGAGTCTAAGACGGTTGCTCATTTTTCCAGCCAAGATTTATTACAAATATTGCCCTGTGATATCTGTTATGTCTATGGCAAAACAAAATTTCAGGCAAACCAAACATTGTCATGTTTGTTATAATCTTTAAAGATAATTTAAAAAATATAATGGAACACTTCAATTTGTACAGATAGCTAGTTATTTATTCCACACAGTTAATCATTCATCCTGAAATAATGGAAGGATATACTTAAGATTTTCACAAGAGTTTTCAAAATATTCAGTAATATCAAATATCTCTTATGTTCAACTAAAAAGTATTTTTAAGGTTACCATTTTACAAAATAATTATGGCTATTTTTATTGAGGTCCTACGTGCCAAGTCCTAGATTAGAAATGTTATCGACATCATGGCTAATTCTTAAGTGGTTTGTTTGAACCACAGAACGACTAATTGGAAGGGCCATGATGTGAACTCAGTTTATGGCTCTAAAATCTTTGCTCTTTTTTCATGCCACACTGCTGGTCTTCTACTGTTCACAATTCAAAAGAAACATAAGCCCTCTCCCCCTGACCTAAGTCACAGATGCCCAGTACACATCATGGCAAAGAAGAGCTGTTTAACATTGGCTGAATGAATCAGTGATAAATGAATGAGTCAGAGAAGACAGTAGAAATTATGTTGACTCTAAGAGAAGCATGGGAAACCCTTGGTATGAAGTGAGCCCAGCAAAAGTCTGAAGGAGCTACAATGAGTATGGTTTACAAAGAACTCTGAACACCCATTCATTTGCTTACAACAATGTCTGATGTCTTCTCTTCCTCTGACAAATAATTTTGCTGGATGCCTGTTAAGTTCTCTCTGTTCCATCTCTTCAAAAGATTGTTCCAGTGGTTCTGTTTTATCCATAATCTCTAAATGAGCACTGGATAGATTTTGTTTTGTTTCTCTCTAAAGATTACGTCTTTAAGAGTCCTAGAGTCCTGCAAATGTTAAAGTGGTTATCTATATAAGAACATTCAAATAGCCCCACTGGTGTGGCTCAGTTGGTTGAGTGTCGTCCCATGAACCAGGAGGTCTCTGGTTTGATTCCCAGTTGGGGCACATGCCCAGGCTTGATACCCAGTAGGGGACCTGCAGGGGGCAGCCAATCGATGTTTCTTTCTCATCAGTGTTTCTATCTCTGTCTCTCTCTCCCATCCTCTCTCTGAAATCAATTAAAAAACAAACAAACAAAACACCGAACATTTACATAGATTGCATATATAATGGGCAAGAGACAATATGTGTCTCATGCTTCTAATTAAAGAGGAAAACAGCTCTAAGAGTTTAAAAAATGAGTAGCCATTTCCAATGTAGAAATAAGAAATTAGTAGTCCTTTAAATTATGCCTATTTTACTAAAAAACTAAATGAGTGAATGAATGACAATCCTTGTGTGACTTTTTAATATAGAAAAAGAAGTACAAACTTCTTAAATTCAGAAGGTTTTGATGAAATAATAAATGGCTCATTTGGTACAAAAAGAGGTCTGGCCAAGAGAGTAGCATAGAGTTCCTTTGCTGCAAACAAATTGTGATTTAAAAAGCCATACCAGTCAGGTAAATGCCCTGCCCAGTGTGGTTCAGTGGTTTGATTTCCTGCTCAGGGCACATACCTGGGTGGGTTTCAGGGTTTTTTTTTAATCCTCACCCAAGGATATTTTCCCACTTATCTTCAGGTAGAGAGAGAGGGAGAGACAAAGAGAGAGAGAGAGAAACATTGACTGGTTGCCTCCTGCATGAGCCCAACCAGGGCCGGGGATGAACCGCACAGAGGTACATGCCCTTGGCTGGAATCGAACCCAGGACTCATTCGTCCATGGGCAAGTGCTCTACTGCTGAGCCAAACTGGCCAGGGCTGGGTTTCAAGTTTGATCCCTGGCCCTGGTTAAGGGCATATGCCAGAGGCAACCA